CATGCACTCAGTACTGGTGTGTTGTGACAATCTCCCACAGCCACTACATGATGACAGAAAGAAAGGGAGTGCTTGAGTGTGAGATGTATTTCATTTCTCTCTTTTTTTGGCCAATCAAATAAGCTCACTGAATCAAATAAAGGAAGAGAGAGAGAATAGGCCAGTTTGTTGACATGTCACATAGTTGGCAAGGTATCATGCAGAGTAATAGACAACTGCAGATTGCAGATTGCATTACCTTCCACCTAGCACAGAAAAGTTGAGTCTGAAAGAGTATTTTAGTACTATAACTTGAGACAAAATGATTGCAATTAGGGCTGCCACGATTAGTCGACTAGTCACGATTATGTCGACTATCAAAATCGTCGACGACTAATTTAATAGTCGAGGCGTCGTTTGAAGCTTTGTAGGATCACAAAAGACGCAGGAATAAGTAGGATTTAAGAGTGTAATAACGGACTGAAACAGAAGATGGCAGCACTGCATATACAAGGATGCCAGCTGCCGTTAAACCCCAAAGAAGAAGAAGCGGTGTCCCAGAATTCATAGCGCGGCCCAGCTCAGTTTCCAACAATGGCGGCAGCTAGTTAGTTTTAATATTACTCTTATTATTCTTTCTGAGTCACAAGATAAACGTTTATCATATTTTCAGGCAAGAATGTAGCTGTGTAAACCTCAAATATCTGCTCAGTTTATCAAGACACCACATATTTTCAAAAGCGCTCCGATGTTTTCGGAGACGTCTGTTACCCACTAGCTCGATAGCTAGCCGGGGGCAAGGCTCACTAGAGCCCGTGAGAACACCGGACTCCCGACAGATCTTTTCAAACACACCGCTGTCTTTCGCTGCTCAGGTTAAACATGATATATAAGTCACTTAGATAACTTAAAAATGTTATTGTTTGGCTTATTTTAGTATTTTATTTGTTCCTGAGTAAATCGGTTTGGCTGAGATTAAAGTTATAGTTTTTACATGGCTGAATAAACGTCAAGCTGACAGCTGATTATCAGAAGTGTGAGATGCTCGAGAATATTCTCCGGTGTCCTGTTATATTTTAGATAGCAAGGAGTTATCAAACTATCATCTTGTCTTTATTTTTAGTTAGCACATACCTTAAACACTTAAAGCTGTAAGCTAATGATAGTTATATAAGAGCAGATGCTGCTGGTGCAATAAGCTGAACGTTTTATGTCCAATGGATGATGATCTCATTAGTCGACTAATCGCAAAAATAATCGGTGACAAGTCGACTATCAAAATAATCGTTTGTGGCAGCCCTAATTGCAACCAAACATTCATTCATTGAATGGGAATGGTCTGTAAGCTGTGCAACACTGAAGCCAATGGAATGTAGGGCTGTTCGATATAACGATATATATCGGATGACTATATAACAACGTCTATCGTTTCCTTTTACGCTATCGTTGGGTTTCATGGTGTCGCAAAATAAACTGTTTATGGCAATATTTTTTCATCGTTTTGATGGTCACTGTAGTGGCTATATTACGGTAATTTCTTAAAGTTCTCTCTTTCTCCTATATTTAATATAACCACACTACAGACGGACAAGCGCCTGTTTTTATGGGTTGTCGTTAGCAACAACGACAGTAACACCATTGCATGTCCGCTTGTTTATTTTCCACATAAACCTTTCACAATAAAGCTCAAGATCCTGTTGAGACTTTTCAAAATAAACAGAATCACGCGAAAAAGTATGCAGAGTATTGACAGATGAGAAACAAAAAAAAGAGTTGTCTAAAAAATAAACCTTAGACTCAAACGTTAGAACAGGCTTTCCCCGCAGCACGTCGTGTAATAAATACACACAAAGAAAACGGCGGCTGTTACAACCTATGTCTAAAAATGTGTAGTTTCATGCATCACAAGACGCCCAGCTGGAAACACTTCACCTACCTGAGATTCACAGAATTTACAGAAAATATTACATTATTTGTGATTTATATCGTTATCGGACGATAGATGTTTTATATTGGGATATAAGATTTTGGTCATATCGCACAGCCCTAATGGAGTGTTTTCCTGCAGTCTTAAAAGAAGGCCCCCTGCCAAGGGAAGCTGACTGTGTGAAGCTGAACAAAAAAGCCCTTATTTGAGATTACACTACAGCCACATGTTTACAGTCAGTTAGCTATAAATAGAAAGAAACTGGGAGAGCCAGATGGAGAGATGCAGAAAGAGAGAAGGACAAAGAAACAAAGAGAAAGGCTGTGGCGTTAGACGTCTAATTCAGGGTGATTCAGTCTGTCACCACCTACAGAGCCTGCCCATCCTCATAAAAACAATGATTCTGACTTGGCTCACCAACAACACAACATGACATTTAGCTCCTAACCCTACCATAGAACTCCCACACATACACAAAGCATTACGAAGAAAGGAGGCCAAAATTTAACACAGATACAACAAACAGATACAACGATGCCGACAAACAAAGTCTTGATGACATTTACACTTAAATATCAGCATGAAGCATAATCAAACGCGCACATTATCCCTTATACATTCAAAGAAAATTAGGCTGAAACATAATAAGTGAATCTGCAAATACAAAAAGACGTGCAGAGACAATAAGGTGTTTCTAAGCACCACAGTGAACAAATGATCAGTTACGTGATGATCCTGTAATCACATTAGTGATAAAAATCCAATTAAGTCCTGATTATACATCAGCCTCTTTCCTCTCTACAAGAGCCCTATAGAACCACCACCAAGGATGATGGGAAAATGAATAAGTCATTCCCTTTCTAAGCTGCCAGCTCTACAAAGTCTTGCCTAACTCATACCCTCACATAACCCACACTACACTGTCAGAGAGCAGATACTGCACATAGCCCGTATATCATCATTTTCTCATAGCACCCACTCAGGAGAGACTAAAATAAAACTTATTTGGGTGCTTCTGTAAAACAATGACTGAAGATGTACTCCTACAAAATCTAATTCCAGACGGTGGATAATACTAAATTTCTTCCAGTCACCCAGCACTTTTCTGTCCATAACATCATGCTACACTAGCTTTACTCCTTTCTTTGTTAGTGTCTCCCACACACGCTCCTAGCTTTCACCGTGTTTAGGAAATTAGTATTTGTATCATTTCTCCCTAAACTTGCAACCAACTATAACCACCACCCTTGGAATACCTGCCTCCCACATCCACACTGCAGGGAAAAAAAACAGAACCCTCCGCTTTTGGAGAAAAGTGCCACAGGCTTTGTTGGGGTGAGGTAAGTGGGTTTTTCTTAGAGCCCACTCTTCAAAATGAGTCTGCATGCAATTCTCTTTCATTTTCCAGGACCTTAGCTTAATTTCGTGTGCACTTAACTGACAATCTGCCATACGGGATCATAGATTTCGCAAACCCAGAGTCATCTTAGAGGATTCATTTCTCTGCCTTCTGCCAGCATCTCTTCATTTGACGTAATCAGTAATTAACAGAAAGTAGAAAACTAAACATCTATCCTTTAATTAAGTGGTATTATAGGCAGAGGCTCGAAATGTTTCTGTAGCTGGGTGAAATGAGGGCAACAGTGATAAACAGAAGGCAGGAACTGATTAAACTTTCTTTTCCTAGGGAAAGTGATCACATTCGAGGAATATGAGAGAAAGAAGAATTACCTCATTCTGAGAAGAGATACTTTTTTGGCTCTAGAGTATATATATCTGTATTTTGTGAGCAGTATATTGATGGGTTCATTTTACCCAATTCATTCTATCCAGAACTTACAGAATCGTTTTACAGTATAAGTGTTAGGGGCCAATATACCAAAGCCTTCTTTTATCCTGCACTACAATAGTTTTATACTTTAAGCCTGAAGCTACTGCAGTATCTACATAAATACTAAAGTAACTGCACATTTAAAAATAACTTAAGTTCCTCAGAGAGGCTCAACGTTTGGTCACATGGATGTGATCTATTATAATGGACGTAAAGAGCATTTCCTATTGACACAAGTCTAATCTTGTCCAGATTGTCAAAAAACCCGAACTACAACTATTTGCTAGGATAAAAGACTAAAAACTTCTGGCTTTGCACTCCAGACAAAACCATCTTTGACAATAAAAAGGCAGGAGAGATAAGCCCGATTTAATTTCGCAAACCTCTCTTTCAGAGAATCCTCTTTAGTTGAGGTGGGTAGAGGTGGGACGGGAATATGCAGAACCTCCTACGCACATTCGTAAGAAGTAATCCATAGGGCTGTTCACTGGCGTGTGCATGTGTGTGTGTAACACTCCAGCAGCTCCACACAGACACATGCAAATTAAGTAAAGTCTCAAGTGAAGCAACAAGGGAAAAGGGGACCAAATAGCGACTCTCTGTCAAGTGCTGAGCACAAATATGAAAAAGCTTAGCCTCTGAAGCATTTTGATATGTGAGGGACCTAATATGCTGAAAGAACAATAAGTCACTTCTCTGTCTCTCCTCCTCATTCTTCACCCTCTGACAGTTGTTTTTTTTTTCCCTCTCCCATATCTCAAAACTGTGTGATACAACAGTTTAATTAAATAAAATGACTTGGCAAGACCACAAACAGCAACTGAAGTGCTAGCAATAAAATTAAACTAGCTACATCATAATTAAACAGAGCCACCGTCCTTCAGACCCTAAAATATCAACCTTATTATTGCCGTCTATTCCTACCACTGTTCTGCAAACACGAGTATGTGCCAGCATGGTAAGAAGTCATGCATGCCCCACTTAAGCTACAAGAAATGGGAAGAGGCCAGACTTTAGCAATCCACTGAAAAAAAGAAAATATTGTCTAAGTGTCATGTCAGGCTCTCTAATGCACACTTGCTTTGTAAGCCTGAGACTTGCAAGACGTTGCTGTAACAAACCATGGCTGTGTATAGTAAAGTAAAATCTAGTAGGTAGGTGGTATATAGGAGAGAAACGAATCCAAACAGACATATGCGGCACATATAGGATAACATTTTAGACAATGTAATAGAGGGAAGGAGTAAGAGACGTAGAACTTACATGGCCATGGTTGATGAATCCATGTTCCCTGGCGATGCGATCAGCTTCCCCAGGGCCCCCATTGATCTGGACAGCCCACGTGTTGGTGTAGACCTTTGCAGCATCAATCCAATTCAGTTCAGCTGTCAGCAGGACAAAGACTGTCCACAAGAGAAGCAGGGCCACCCTGGCATCCATTAAAAGGACAACTTCACAGCGCAGTTTATCTGTCCGTCTGTTGCTGTGTCCCAGGCAGAGTGGGGATGCTCCACCTTACAGCAGCAAAGTAGAACACTGGCCTGGAGATGAGAGGACAGAGCAAACTATAAACACAAACATGGCCTTCTTAACTGGGTCACTCTTGGGTTTGAATAACCTACCGCAGACACCGTTCACAAAAACAAACCCAGAACTGCATCAAAAATAGACACCACACCCACAGACTTTATCAAGCATGAAACTTACTCACAGTCTGCTGTCAGACTCTGAGAAGAAGACCACATCTTAATAAATGTGCAAAGCATAAATATTAGGTCAGAAACAGACAAGGGCTGTGCCAAAAACGAAATCATTTTCCAATTCTCTTTCATTTTTTTTGAGACTTGAAATGGTAATGTATGATAATGATATACAGTAGGCATGTTGCTGCAATACAGGAAGAGCTCCTAGCAAACCAATATACAGCTACTGGCAAAAAGAGGGGAAACGTGTCTGAGGAAGAAAATATTTAAATTCTACTCATGCACTGCTCTTCATTATAAGGTATTCCATTTTTTTAAATAACAGACTGCTTATTAGGTATGAAAAGGTACTTTCAACACATTTAACAGAATAGTAAAATAAGCACGCTAAAAAGGACCATTATTTGAGCAGATGTTCAAATGAGCAAGATTTTCAACTGATATCGTCTGCTGCTCTTTGATTTGTAGCTCTTTGGATCATAAAAAAGGAGCCTGTAAGTCAAACATAAAAAGGAAAGCTTTAAGGTAAGTTAACTGACTCAGAGTGTGAAGACAGATAAGGTGTGGTTATCTGCTAAGTATATCAGCTCATCCTAAGAGAACAGGAGATAGAGACCATACAGGCCTAAACGGCTCACTGGTAACGCTGCTGATCACACAAAAATGATATCAAATGTATCAATCCACACAACACACTTAACCGATGTGGAAAAAAAATAAATCTCAGATGTTGTAAATTTGCTGAATTTGCAGTGTAGACCCCCCAATTTGGTACACTTTCATTTAGAATAGTTATGTCAACATTTCTGGACATCAGGATTTTTAGATTTAAAGTATAAAACTGTTAAGTTAGCTGTTCATTGCCTTAGAAACCCTAAAAAGACAAAAAAGGGGAACACTTGATCATCACAGTATAATACAAAGTCACTAAACTAGTCATTACTTCAGTGTTATCCATCTGTCCAGTTAGAAGGTATACACACATGTGACAGACCAAGGACTGGGGATGCCGTGGCATTTGTCACACGTGGTCAATGCAAAGTTTCTTTCATCTGTGAAGAGAACAGGGTGCCAATGACGGACCTGCCAGTTCTGGAGCTCTCAGGCGAATGCCAATTGAGCTGCACTGCGCGGTGCTGTCAGGAGCTCATGCCACACTCATTGAGTCCAAGTCTTTGTATGTTTCTGACAGTCTGGTCAGAAACATACACAAGTAGCCTGCTGGAGGTCATTTTGTAGGGCTCTGGTGCTGCTCCTGCTGTTTCTACGACCCTCTTCAGCTTGTCTTATGTAACGGCCTGTCTCCTTGTGTTTGTGGACAGACTTGTATCTCTGAGGTTTCACAGCCTTGCATTATACTGTGATGATCAAGTGCTTCCTTAATGTTTTTTTTTTTTAGCAGCAGTCAAACTACAGTATACCTGGATACATGATCAAACTCTCTCAGCTCTCCAATACTCGTTCAAGTTGGTTGTGATCTGGCTTTTAAAACCCCAGCATACTTTACCTAGTGCCACCAGGTGCCTTTGAATAAGATAGTGACAGTCCAGATCCTTCAATAGTGCACATTTTCCTAGGTATACTTTCTTGGTGCACAACTTTTTAAAACACCTGGCAGGTAGGATGTTCAAAGCTTTAAAGAACTTGCTGTGTCTCTTGATGTTATCCTAAGATCATAGGATGAGGAGGCTACACCACTGGTTGCAGGACTACCGTACGTCTTATTTTTGAGCCCGAGGATGTGGTGGATAGAAAGATGGCAGTGGCTAAGAGCATTTGTAAGATGCCTTATGGAAAGTAATACCTGATCATGTCAAAAAGGGCAGAAGGTGGCACAATTTCTTGAATTATACAATTTAGCTTTTGAATTCAACCTTTTAGATTTACAATGCAACTAAAAACGTTTTTACTAAATCTGGGAAAGTTTCAGCCTCAAACCTTCAGTTTAGATTGAAAAAATAAATTCTATTTATTTCTCTGCTGGAAAAAAGTGGATTGCTCCCTACAGACAGGTTTGTTTTTTCCCCGAAGCGAAGGTATCTTGGCATTTTTTCACAAGTAATGGGTAAAAGGAGCAGTCGATCTACATTCAGACACTCATTTATGGTCATGAGTTCTGGGTAGTGATAGAAAAAAAATGAGGCTGTGAATGCAACTGACTGAAAATGTTTTCCTTTGCACAGGAGCTGGGCTCAGGCTTTCAGGTTACACTCATACCAAACTAATCGTACCACGGCAGCTCACGTTTTACCCCCAAAATTACAGCTTGTTTGACACGTGTGATTGCTCTGTGCTGTGCCCTGACCTGCTTGAAGAGGTGGGTCCAGGTGAGATTTAGTGGTCCTCACATAATAGGAGTACAAAATCTGCCCAAGAACAGTATGCAGTGTTTCATATAGCTACAGTGAAAAACAGTTTAGGTAATCAGCAAATGTTTGGTGCATGTGGGAAGACAGTGTGACACTACTTTCCCAATCAAGCCACAAAATCCTTGAAATAATGACCCCTTTTTGTACTCTGCAAATGTGTTTTTCAAGTATGATATTTAAGTTTGAGTGAGCATGAGAAAGGGGATTTGAGATGCTGAGATGAACTGATGTGTACTCCGGTCCCAATCGTTAAATTCTGTGTATGCGCAGGCCAGTGAGAGAGCAGGGACTGTTGTGCTAGTGCACGCTACATGGCAGCCGTACCGAATGGAAGCACGCCCTTGGAGACGGAGTGGGAAGCTCGTACAGCTGAGGGAGCTTGGAGTAGATCCACTACTCCTTCATGTTATAAGGAGCCAGCTCAGGTGGCTCATGCATTTCACAGAGAAAGCTACCCTAAGGACTTTGGGTTAGATCGAAATTCCTCCAGATACATTTTATATGTTATCTGGCCTGCGATAAACTCGGGATCCCCCAGGAGGAGTCTGGAAATGTTGCTGGGTAAAAGGAAGTCTGGGATATTCTGCTTAATGTGCTTCTACAATGATCCGACATTGGACAAGAGGAAGAAAATAAAGGACGGGTTAGTCGTAAACACAATTTTTTTTATTTTGACCAAAATCCTTTCCTTGTTGACTGATAAGAAAAACCTCCCAACTCCAAATGATATGCTTTTAGCAGTAGGAATTTGGAGGCAACTGCTGTTTTTGCCGTAAACTCCTCACTTCCCCGAAAATACCCTCAATCCCTCAATCTTCCAAACAATTATCCCATTTGCGCAGATTGCATAGATTCAAACTATTCAAAGAGTAGACGCTCGCTTCTGTGGCTTCACAAATGTGGTGTGGGTGTGATTTGAGCACAACAGGAGAAATGGTGGAAACATGACCATGGGCTGTCACTCTTCCTGTGGAGTATTTCTTCTGAGCTCATTAGACACTATGCTAGCACCACAAAAACAGGAGCAGGGGTCTGCTGTTACCGAGACGGCTGAGAGATGGAAGAATAGATGGAGAGCGAGAACAGGGGAAGAGAGAGAGGAGATAGAGGTGGTACTGGTGGGGTCCCTCCCCCTCATACAGCACTGCGGAAAACAACAAGCACATTATAATACAACTCCCAAAACACCTTCTTTCAAAATGCAGCCTGGAGAGGAATTAACAAGTGGCTGCTTACTCTTACAATATACATCAAAGGCCTAAAAGTAAGCCGTAGCTTCAACCTTCACACCAAAGGAGAACTAACACTTCAGAATCTAAACTACAATGAAAATACAAAATGAGTTGCATGACCTCGATTGAGATTAGTACAACGCTGAACCTTCAGTGGACGTGCAGGGGTGGATAAATGACCCGTGATTTGCTAAAATAACATGACAGATTTGAAATATTAACTGAGCACTTTCTGTTTCAAGCTATTGTCAAGACTTCTAAAAGCCGTTAAGTGGGCCCTTTTTTATAAGGAGGACGAGAAATCTTTTATTTTTTTCCCCAAAGTAATTTCTTACTGCTGAAACAGAGTAGGAGCAACAACTTCTGCCACGATGTTCTTTCTAGACGATTGAAAATCCTCTTATTCTTCAGCATCAGCAACTAAGTTGTCCTTCAAGAGGACGCATCACATCAGCTGATCCCTTGTTCTTGCTCAGTGGTCAGCAGAACTTTGCAGGCTCCGTTGAAGAAGCTTAGCACAGACTGACTCGTGTGCTTTGACTCGCTCACTATTCAAGCTGTTTGAGATTAGAGGGAGATGAATCAGCAGTGTCCATTAATTAATGTTTTGATAACTTCCCCAGTCCATTAGACTGCAGCCCCTGTACCCTAAACACTTGCAGCAATAAACAGATTAAAACTGCTCAAAAATAGTCCACATTATCTTTATTATATAAACATGGTAGGGGATTTTTAATGCACTTTTTGAGTACACTGTTATTATTATCCTAATGCTGTATTTTATAGGTTGTATATAATTTAAAGGTTACAGTTACAGCCTAACACATTCACCAGCAGAAACTATATTATCGGCTTAACTGACTCATCAGTAAATGATATTAGTGGCTATTAGTGGCCTGCATTTTTGCAGGTTGCAAACAGTAAAGCATTGATACATTGGACGAACGGTGCATCGACTTACATCTGCGGTGTTGACTGATATCGGCCTATCGACAAGTCAGGTGACATTTACCTATGGCAGCAACATGTTTATCTGTTGTGTCACATCAATCAGTCGGGGTCGCAGGGGGATGGGTGGTGGGTGGGGGGCTGGAGTCTATCCTAGCAGATGCTGGGTGACAGAGCTGACAGGCTGCTACTCCATTGCGGGGTTAACATAGACAGACTGATAACCCTTCGCACTCAGACCTACAGCCCATTTAGACTCACCAGTTAACCCATTAAGCATGTTTCTGGGGAGCCTTACAGGAGCCTTCTTGCTGTGTGGCGACATTGCGCCGCCTTCCAGTTATTTAAAGCAATTAAATAACAGGAGGCACATTTGAAATATACTTTCCCATTTGTATAATTCCTAAATTTACTCTTACTGCCATCCCCCATAAAAAAAGCTTTTTATCCAGCTATAACGACTTTACATATCTTTGTTATTGCTTTCTTGTAACCAAATTAGAGGTATCCTTGCCAAACATAAATTACATTAAAAAAATAACATCATCCAGTCATTATTTATTTTAAAATGTTCCGATTTCAAAATTGGTATTTGACATAAAACTCAGTAATTGTTGCTGAGTGCAAAGATAAATAAATAACAAGGGCACAACATTTAATACTAACTCAAACACCATCAGTCAAATGAAGCAATATTGTCAGCAGCGTGAACCTGAATCAAACTCAATTCTTAAGAAAATTCAAAATATTATTTTCTTTTAGTTGGAAAAGACTTGATTTCCCAAAGCTCTGGAGCAGCTGTTTAGTCAACAGCACACCGCTATCACAAGTATTCCCAGTAGGTTAAATGTGATTTATCTGACAAGGAGTTTAATAGAATAGAATACCCCTTTATTGTTACTGTACATGTACAAAGAAATTATGGGTGCTCCACGCAAACTGTGCAGGAGTAAAAAAATAAATAAAAATTAAAGACATCAGGAATAAATAGCAAACAGAAGAAATATATACAGTCTGGAGGAATATATACAAACTAGAGGAATATGTACAAAACAACAGAAAGGGACACAATGTGCAATTGGTTCAGTCCGGAGCGACATGACAAACATAATGAGACAAAATAGCATCCACCCTTGCTGACAGATGAGAATAAAGAACAAGTTGCATCAAGAACCATTCCAAACTTTCCAATCCATCGGAATCGTGTGCTTCCAAGAATATCAGTTCTGGATTATTTTTATAACAGCTCCCGTGCTGCAAACCCATAACGTCAAACTCATGGCACTAGAGCTTCTGTACACCTGAGTCACAACAAAGTTTTTTTTCCTGCTGTTGCACTCTGTTCAGACTCAGAGATGAAAAAAAAAGTTCATTTAACCCATGAACACCTGGTTTGTCTTCCCTCCGCAAGAAAAAAAAAAAAAAATCAAAAAATTAATCATATGTGAATCGATAAAGAGTCTGCAAGCAGAATCAATAATGGAACTGGTATAGATAGATTTCTTTTTTTAATCAATATCCATTTCTTTACTTGATGGAGAGCAACTGCCAATTTCCATTAGCAATGACAAGAACACAAAGCTGTGACAGACCATATGCAGCACTCCAGCTCTATTTCAGGCTGCCCACCAGCCAAATCTACACCCACCATGTGCTCTGGGCCGGCCTCTCACAGAAAACCAAGGCACACAACCATGCTGCAGCATTTGTGAAGTACCACTGACAGCCAAGTATTCTTTCCTGTGAGGGAAAATTGCTCCAAGTTAGAGTGCGATTGGAAAGCCAGAGGCACTGCACAGGCATGTTGTGCTCTATCAGGACTGCGCTACACGGTGGGATGTGAGCTGTGCGGTGATCATCTGAGACACGCCGTGTAGTGAGTGAGAACGCCATGACTGACTGCCACTAAAGCCTAATCCATCCTGGCTCCCACTGTCTATAAGTTACAGAGATGGAAAAGCCTGATAAAAATGTTGTCTGGGGCAGCAGCATCACTGTGTCCAGGAGGAAGAATCAATTCTGTAAGTAATGTCCCACAGAGACATCCAACCCCATTTTTAACAGCCATCTGAATCTTGGCATTTATCCCCGCGGTAAACTTCCCCCTCATCTAAGACAACCTCCTTCCTACTTTATAGATGAGTTATATTGTTGACAAGTTTGTCTCCCTACTTATTTCTCCTCCACTGCATTCCTGTTTTATATCTCTTATAAACCATGTGCTGCTAAGGGCTCACACCTCTAGGACCACTAGTACTGGATTTAGGAGTACAGGTGACAAACTGAGTGGAGATTGGAGGCTGGAGGTTGACAGCAAAGTCTTTCTCCATCTATATAAACTTAGGAAGACACCTTTGCCTAGACCTAAAGGAAAAGCACAGAACATCAGTCAGTCTTTGATATGGTGATGTAGCGTAGTCGGAAAAGAAGGATGCCCTGAGCCATACTTTTTGCCTCAACAACTGGTGACCTTGACTTCCTTCTTTGGTTTACTTCTGGTGGGAACTGCACTAGAAGTACAAACAATATTACCCACGGGATGGGGACAGCATGACTTGGATTACTTTAGGTTTAGTTTTGCAGCTTGTTTGCTCAAACTGAGCTGCTCTTCAAGCATATATACAGTGTTTGACGGAGACTAACGCACTGCTTTGGTGTTTTTCACCCCTGCCAGACAAACAGAACTGAGTGAAATTTACTACAGCTATCTTCACCATACACAGACAAATGCACTTGATTAGCTTTACTCCCTATTAAAGCGTCAGGTTGAATAACTATGAGACCGCAAAAATAAAGAGTGTGCGCGCAACTGAACTAAACTGAATTAGCCGAGCCAAATGTGACATCCTGCAGAAAGCAGCACTGTAAATACAACAGTTAAGGACAATCGTGTTATCTTACCACCAATAAACTTCAGCAGAGGAGCGCGTCTGAGCAGAGCTGGCCAACTATGTCACTAAGCCATGTCTCTACCAATAAATAAATTTAAAAAAAAAAAAGAATCCCCTGTACTGGTTTAAAAAAATAAAATAAAAAATCTTGTTATCTAGACTGGAGAAGCATTCACCTGACTGGGAGGACTGGTGAGCGCTGTTGGCAGCGCTGGCAGACTACTGAAACGCTTTCCGCTAATACTCCCATTGTTCCCACCCACTCTGGCACAGCTCCCCTCCCAGCTTTGAACGCATCAAAAACTCACGGATTAAAAAGAAGAAGAAGAAGAAGAAGAAGAAGAAAAAAATAGCAAAACAGTAAAGCGGCTGTCAGCCGTAGGAGTTACCTTAGCAAGTCAAACACCAGTGAGGACCGAGACGGCATGCCTCCTCATCCTCCCTCCGTGCGGAGACTCCCATTCCTCCTTCTGCGGGTTTCACTTGCAACTTTACATCTAACCTGACACTGTGCGTCCTTTACTCGGTCCAGGAGATTATTTACAAGGCTACCCGCATGCACCCATCTTCACCGAAAAGTGCTCAGTTCAACTATCCCGTCTTGCTTGTCATCCTCCACCAACTTACAGCCACCATGGTTATATTTTGCCAGTTAACTTCCACCGTCGATCCCAGTTATGTCTTCGGAGGCTTCTTCTAATAGGTTTAAGTCATTTCACGTGGTTTGTTTGCTGGCTGGAGTAGTGCTGTTTTTAATTTACACACGTACAAATTAAACAGCACGGACAGACAAAGGGGAAAATAAGCCGCTGTGTGCCAATACAATAAAGCGGTTCAGGATTGGACGAAAATTACAACAACTTGCCACTAACCCTTTTCTCCAGGAAATACGTCACGTTTAGAGCGAGTGGCTTATAGTGTGCGCTTGATGTGTATCGTCGCAGTCTCCTATAGGGACGGGGCCAGCTGTTGTGTAGCTCGCCTAAAGTCACGCTAATCCCTTTTTTCATTTGACAATAGCAGGATAAATAATAACATTCGTATCATCGTATTATTTTTACTTTTATGATGAACTAGTTAAAAGTCTAAATAAATATAAGAATGGTTAAAGTAACAACTAAAGAAATTGGATGACTGTGTCAAAATTATGCCTGTTTCAAGCTGCAACGCTGATTAGTTTATCCTCACAGGAGGAATTCCGGGACACGACTGTATTCAAAACACGCATCCATGCTTTAAGGCTGGCTTGATTTGTACACCTGTGTGTGATTGCCATCTCCTGGATATGAACTGAACTTACAAAAAAAACGAACAAAACAGCACTGGAACCAGTAGAGGGGGCTATAACACAAAGCTCCCCGTTTGAGTCTGACTCGCATGGTTGCGTCTACCCCGTTACAGCCTGGTATAAGTGAAAACCAGCCCGCTTTCAGCAGCTCCAGCGTTATAACACGGACCAAAGTTATCCCGGAATAAGGACAGCACGCATGTGCCGTCAACCCGGATGTAGATATCTTAGTGCGCGTCTATTCCCCGTTTCTCCAAGTTATTACAACATTTGCTGTGAGAAATATTTACAGATCTTAACCCCAGCTGGACAAACCTTTGCCGCCCCAAACCTGTCCAAACCGGGTTAACCATCCGTGACATGTATCGGGCTACGTGGATGTCACATGAGAGTGACAGCTCCACAGTGGTCTCATTTCGGAGCGCTGCATTTTTGATTTAAGGTGAGAGAAACTACAGTGAGTTGGTATAACCTACACTTTTACTGCATGAGTAATGCATTTAAAATCCAGCGTGTGTCGGCGTGCCTGAAGTTGGCCTGACAGAGGCCGCCTGCTCGTTTTCGCTATCATCATCCCGTGTTGCAGAAATCCTCCTCTAACTTAGACGATGGACTTCCGCGGTAGGAGGCATGAGCGAGGCAGCAACTGGACTGACCCGGAGATTGTGGAGCTGCTCCAGCTGTGGTCCGACGAGTCGGTGCAGATTGAACTGGAGAGTTCACTGCGCAACCAGCGCGTGTTTGACCGTATCGCCCACATTTTGCGTGAAAAGGGCATCTACCGCACAGGAGACCAGTGCAGGGAGAAGATTAAAAAGATGAAGCTGGAGTACCGCCGCATCAAGGACAACCACAAAATGAGGTCTTGGAAGTTTTATGATGTGATGGACAGAGTGCTGGCGAATCGGCCGGCTATTACTTACTCCTCCCTAGGCGGAGCTGTCATAGCTCAACAGGTGTTCCAGACCTCTGGGGCACCTGAGGCATACCTGCAAGGAGTGCCAGCGGGCTCTTTTGGTCCTGCTTCCTCCGGTGGGTTTCTCTTTGGCCAGCCCCCAAAAGCTGGAGATCCGCTGGATATCAAATGTGAAGATGTGGAGGAGAGCATGCTGAACTCCGGAGAGGCACCGCCTGAGATGTACTATGGTTCTGGAGATGATCAGGAAACTGATGGGCAGTCTCTACTGGAGCCAGAAGACACCCTGAGCCGAGCCGAGAGCACACTTAATACAAGAATTTCACCTTCAGGTTGTCAGCCGATAACTATCATTATTATTATTATTATTATTATTAGTTAGAATCAGCATATGTTTATAAAATTGATAGCAGGCTAAAATCTTATTTCTCTTCTTTACATCCTCAGGTTTTAGTGACCTGAACATGACTGGCTCTGCTACAGCCACCACCTTGGCTGCTGGTGGTCCCGTGTCACACGACACATCCGACGAGCCCAGAAAGGAGGGTTCTCGTCAACAGACCTCAGTGAGACAGAGGAAGCGGCGCCGGGGTGGTAAAACATCATGGTGCCATGGGGGCGGTAGATGGGGTGGTCAGGAGAGACTGGATAAAGCCCTAGCCAGCTTCCTGAACTGGCAGCAGTCTGCAGAGGAACGTCTCCTCTCACTGGAGGAGGCGCGGCTGGAGAGAGAGCTACAGGCAGAGGAGCGCAGGGAGCAGCGGGAGGAGAGGAGGGCAGAACAAGAGCGTCAGCACGAGCTCCGCCTGTTCAGCATGCTCACGGGGGTGTTGCTCGCTGTCAGAGAGGGTACGCAAACCACAACACAAAGCGACCCCGCCACCTCACCCTTAGCTCGTTTTTCAGCTTCGCTGATAACAACGCCTGCCCCCTCTGCTCCTTCATCTTCATCCCAGCCACCTCCAGAGGCTCCCACGACAGAGGCTGTTTTTAATCAGGAGACAAAAAAGTCACAGCTCAGATCTGTCAAGGCCTGCAAAATGTCTCAGAATGCTTTGGAAACACTGAGGGGTGAGGAAGGTCCCGGCAATAGCATCTACCTGTCTGAGCGTGGTAATAGCATCCGACTCCATGAAGGTATCCTCCAGGAGGGCTACATCCAATATGGAATGGACCGGCACCATGATACAGACAACCCTGATGTAAGGGAGCACAATGTTGTAAACACCAGTCACAGATGCTTAAGCATTTATTAAAAGCTCCTTCTTTTTCCAGGGTATTATCAACATGGGGACCAGTGAGAACAAACTTTGTTATGATCTTCTTCATAAACGGGTAAGATAAATATTAGATTCAATGCAGTCTATAATGATATGTGTATAGCCATTTACTTGTTATTACTTATTATTATGAATTATTCTGCCTGCTCTTTGACAAAAAAAATCCCATTTCCTTTTCTGCTACAGCTGACCAAGCCTGACATGCTGCACATCAACCCATCCTTGTTGCAGTATTCAGACTGGAGGGGGCACGCTTTGTAAGACACTTAAATGCACATTTATTTTTAATCTTTTCTTAATGAGGATCACATTTGTTATGTGACTCATGGTGAAGTTACATTTTTAACAACAACCTTTCACTGTGCACATTAACCCCATCACCTTTCCGTCTCGCTCTTTCTCAGCCTCAGGGTGGCAGTTGCAAAATTCCTGACTCGCTACTGTTGTTCTCCAAACCCATTAAAAGCTGACAACGTGGGTATTGCTTTTATTATTGAAATAGTATGCACTGTAAGTAATATATGAAATGTGTTTAAGACGGCAGCCACAGCCAGTTGAATATGTAAAAACCTTAGTGCGTTAAGGGAATCATATTAATAACAAAGGTAAAACTGGAACACCTTTTTATTAATCACTCACCTTGCAGTAAGCACAATCCTGAGGACTTTATACTCTTTCCTGCACAATGCCACGGAGCTATATTGCACAACTCCTATATAATGACTCCATAAATGTTATTGACCCTTAAGATAATAATATTTGACACACAGTATACAGGATAAAGGGTAGAAGATGTAATAAATCCCCAGGTTGTGTAAATAAAGTCCTCATCTTGTGACTCATAGCGATGTCCAGCAAATAACATAATTACTGACAAATAAGCCTTTATTCCACTTTTATACTAATGCTCTGGATTATAGCCTCTCATTTTTATCAAAAATGAAGGATATTGAGCTGAATGCTTTATTTCACTAATGATCAAAAAATGTCAAACACTACAATTGAACTGACAGCAGTTCTGGGTTCACCAACTTAATTTGCACAGGAATGAATAGCAGGTTTAGTAGGTGGATTAATTTAAAGCACATTTATCAGGACTCGTGCCATAATTGGGTCTTTCATAACACAGTGGATGCCTGTGTTTGTCCAGGTTGTGGTGATGAATGGCTGTGGTTCCCTCTTCTCATGTGTTGCTGCAGTCATTTGTGATCCTAAAGGTAGGTTCAGATATGCTTTGACGTACAATTCATTTAATGCATCCATATCTGTACCGTATGAATAAAAATGAGTGCGCGGTAGAGAGGAAGTCGAGTCCGCGTTCCCCTTTTGCTTGTTTAACAGATAATTGGAAGGATTACGCAGACTTATTTTAAAGAAAACACCCAGCCACATAAATTGCGCATTCTGTTTACCTCTGCTGGCGAAGCTTCATTTTAAGCAGCGCAGTAAATTGTTTTGCTCAGTCACAACGTTAAAAAAAAATCATGAGCCTCAGAGTCAGCTGGTATTTACCTATTTACTGCCTACCTGAATCACTAAGGCAGAGTGAGTCAGTCATTAGTGGGATGTTTTTGAAATCAGCAGATGCTTTTCGTTGGTGATTTTGGTTCCATGTTAGCAAAGGCAATGACCAGTAACAACTCAAAATAGTACCAGATATGGCTCAGTTAGCATTTGCTGTGCAGTATATACACCCATGAAAATACAATATGATACAGATTATATGTGCACATTTAGTTATTTGTATACTAAAATGAAAAGTGAGATAATAAAAAAGTGCATATTTTAACCTGTTTTGTGTGTTTTGCATCCCGTAGATGCCATCCTTATTCCGACTCCTTTCTACGGCGTCATCACTGAAGATCTTCATCTGTATAGCGATGTAAAACTCTTCCATGTTCCCCTTGATTGTGAGGTAGGAAGGCACAACCCGAGTTACTTGCAGCATTTTGCATTTGAAATGGATGTTTTTGTGCACACTGGAATGTAATGGCCCCTATTCAGCTGGGCTGCTTTTTCTTTTGTTTTTAAAGGCTGATGGGAAAGATAACCGACCCTTCCGCCTCACTGTACGGAAACTAGAAGAAGGTCTGCAAAGAGCTAAGGAAGAGGTAACGTGTGAAGGCATGCTGGTTTGAAACAGTAACATTTATATGTTAAAAGAAAGACAAAATTACTCGAGCAAAATTCTCAGCGTAGATAAACACCTTGGATGCTTTGTTCTTCTCAGAGACTTTTTTTTTCAGTTTATCTGTAAAGACTGTGAAGGTACAGTGTAGCAGTTCCTGTTTACTTCCAGTTGAACCTGCCATTTCTTTAAGGGGTTGACAATTCGCGGCGTTATCCTGATGAACCCCCACAACCCTCTGGCTGAAATCTACAGCCTGAAGGAAATGATTACCTTCCTGGAGTTTGCCAAAAGGTATGTTTGCCTCACTATTATCTCACACTGCGGCCTAACGCTGTAATCCTCTTGCTCTACATTTCTGTGGTTCCTTTAAGCGCTTTGCCAAGTCACTGCATATAGTTCCTACTGTGATCTGTTTTATTTTATGACGGAGAGCTCTGTCCCGTGTGTGGAATATCAAACGTTCTTGACGGAGTTTTACGACCTCTCTTAATCACCAGCATATTGTCAAGTGCAGCCATGTGCCAAAGAGACTCCTGCAACATCTATTGTTTTCTAAATGATCTTGCCAGAGTAATTCCCTGCACAGACCCTTCCAGGCACTGAGCTGTTGTAACCATAAACCACAGTGCTTTTACAGTGACACTTGGCGTTGAAGGAACCGTTTTACATTGATGTTGCATTTTCCTTGTCTTAAATATCCATTAAGAATATAAAACCAGGCCTTATTATTGCTGCACTGAAAATATGTATATATTTATGTTATCTTCCTGTCTCCTTCCCTGCTTTAGAAATGCTCTCCATGCCATTGTAGATGAAGTGTACATGCTGACAGTGTTTGATGAATCTGTCACCTTTCAGAGTGTCCTCAGTGCAGACAGGTACTGCGTGAACCTAACCTCCGCATGATTAGTCTGTTAGACCTTGAATCATCATAACTGCTGCTGAAGACATCCACTTATCTCATAATGATGTGCCCTTATTTCAGTTTGCCCGATCCACAGAGGACGCATATAATGTGGGGAATGAGCAAGGTATGTGCTGTACAGAGGCCTGGAAGTGGAAAACTGTGAGACTTTCAATAACCGTATACATTGCTTTCACAGTTCATTATTTTTCATTGACTTTGTCATGTCCTTTCTAGGACTTTGCAATGGCAGGAATCAGAATAGGCACTTTATATACGGAGAACAGAGACCTCGTGGAGGCTTTGGCCAAATTGGGCTCTTTTCATGGTGTCTCTGGGACTACCCAGCACCAGGTTGCACAACTGCTTCAGGATAAAGGTAAGATCTGAGCTTTTTGTGTTCTTTTGCAGTCACACTGCTGTTGTAACATCAGATTTATCAGAAAAACCACTTGGAAAATAATCCTAACATGAGCACAATTTGGACAAAATTATCCAGCACGCTTTACACAAAACAAGCATTTTGTGTATAGCGGAATTTATATTCATAAATGCAAATTACTTTTGATGCAAGCATTTTAACAATTCCACTGTTCTACCTTGTGCGTTCCATGCTTTCAAGAAACACGAGCCTCCCTTTTTTGCTTTCTCTGATATGACAAGCACAGCATGGGGCCTCTGCTGCAGAAAGACTTGTAACATTTAATTTACACTTGCCGACTGTCACTTGGCATTCTCGTGTTGTAGAGTGGATCAGTGAGGAATTTTTGCCTGAGAACAGACGCAGGCTGAAAGCTGCGTGCAGCTACTTGACTGGAGAGCTGCTCAGTATGGGCATCCCGTTTCTAGACAGGCCCGCGACACTGTATGTCTGGGCTGACCTTAGAAAGGTAACAAGACCGAAGTCGAATTGAAATGGCTTGCATATGAACGCAACATTCTTCTCATTCTTTTGAGATATATATTCTTTAGGTTTGATTTGTCACTTCTGTTTTGGTAGTATCTCCAAGAGTCATCATTTGAGGAGGAGCTGTCTCTTTGGAAATGTTTCCTCAGGCACAAGGTGCTGCTCAGTTGTGGCCAAGCGTTCTGCTGTTCAGTGCCCGGGTGGTTCCGCATCGTCTTTGCAGACCAACAGCACCACCTTCAGCTTGGTCAGTACCAACAACACTCATAGTCTCTCTTGGCCAGGCTGTTTATGCCCTCTCAGCCGTTAAAAAAAATGGTAAATGGCCTGTATTTGTATAGCGCTTTACTTGGTCCTAAGGACCCCAAAGCGCTTTACACTATACACAATCATCCACCCATTCACACACACATTCACACACAGCCGTTCACCTACTCTCTGTTTTAGTAAGAGCAGTGAGCCATTAACATTGGACCAGATTTGTTGGTCCAAAGAAGCAGTGAAAAACAAAACTATTGTACACCTATGTTGTTCACAGTGCAAATGGATAATGACACAAGAATACTAGAAAAGCAACCCAAGAGTCTTTCAAAGAAAAGAAGAAATGAGATTGAAAGAAATGGGATGTTCTTCAATGGCCAAGTCAGTGATCTAAAATCAGTTCCTTAATATAAAGCTGAAAGCAAAACAGCCGCAAACAAGCAGCTCTTTTCAGTGGACTCTGGTTCTAAGGTACGATTAGCTGTTATTGCATTGAGGGAGGGAGAGTAAAGGTCATATCCTTTAAATTTTACCACAAATTTCCTGCCCAAGTCCTTTGCTATCCTTGGTCTATTATGAAAAACTGAAAAAGAATAGTTAAACACATGAAAATTGCTCCTCATTCTTGCTCAACATTTATAAAAATGAGGATAAAAATCTTAATTCATTCATTTTCCTCATAGCTATTTTTGAGATAGTGTATGCAGAAAGTTCTTGGCTTGATGTTAACCTCTCCGATTCCAAAAGAAGAAGACTGAGTAGTCTGTAATGACCTAATCGGTTGATTTAAAAAAACAAACAAAAAAACATCCTTTAGTTTAGCATTCTAGTACAGCGATATCTTTCAAATTATAATAGTAAAGGCTTTAATTGTTTAATTGTTTCTGTATTTTTAAATCTACCATAGTTATACTTTGTTTATATGCTATTATTTTTTAAGTTTACAGCTTTCTGGATTAAATATGTAGAATGCTTTGTCACCCTGTGCTGATACTAGACAGTGATTAGCACATATTTGTGATATAATTTATTCATTCAAAGGTTTATGTTGTACTGACTTATTTTGTCACTTTGTTTTGTGGTTTTTCAGGCCTTAAGCGAATTAGAGAGGCTTTAAAAGAAACTGAAGCAAAAATGCGAGTCCAGGACATCAAACAAACCAGTGAGGAGAGCCAAAAGCCAGTAAAAAAGGACAATGCAGGTTCAGACAATGCTGCTACTGTCAATCCAAAAACCTTACCCGAGAACAATTCATCAGATCAGCTGAAGGAGAGGGATAGCCCTGTTCCTGACACAGGCTCGCTGGCCACTGAAGACTGCCAAGCCTCTAAGCCCACAGAGAGTCTTGACACGCTGATCGGTACTCTCAGGCATCAGATCCGTTCCTCTGATTGGCTGGAGAAAAGCACTCCAGAGCTGTCTGCTGGGGAGGACCCAGAAATTTTTGATGTGTTCAAGGTCCTGCTGCAAAGAGCCAGAAAGTAAGCTTAGGATTAAACAGGCACGAATGTAGCTGCCAAATTTCAAGAGGCAGTACTTAAGCATCCCTCTTGCTTCCTGTGTTTATGGTGAAAAGCTTGACACAAACACCTGACACAAGGTCAGCTCTGATGTCTGTTTTTGAAGAATGAAATAGCTGAGACCAGGTTAAAGAGAAGTAAAGAAAAAACCCGGCCTGGCATTAAGAACAGGACGGAGTACTTTTCTGTATGCGTCTTGAGGCCTTATTGTTAAGCTGAGAAGTGGATTTATTTGCTGATATTCGAAGTGGATGCCAAATAGAACAACCAAAAATCAGACGTGTCCTAACATCAAACACTACAAGTCTCTTTTCTTATGAATTGTAAATGTTTCTGATTTTCATCTTACGCGGTTTATTTTGTCAAAATGAATTGTACTTGCTGTAAAGTTAATAGTCCACAAATAAATACAGGACGTATTATTTATTTTCTTGACTGTTATTCATTTAGAGTTAGTAGCCTTTAGCTGGAGATGTGTTATTTTGTGTGCTCGTTGTTTGTTTCAGTGTGACATTATCTTTTGTTCTTTGGCATGGGTGGGCTGTGGGCTCTGTTCCGCTGCTGCAAAGGAAAGTGAAGGTGGTGAGAGTAGAGTGACGAACAGGGGGAGATATCTGATGCTGAAGACGCTATTGGCTGACAACACTTTGTAGCCCACTGTCTGTGACAGCGAGTGGGATTTCCTTAACCGTTTCGTGATGCGTAATGACCCGACGACACCCCCCACACACTTTCTACATGACAAGGGTCTGATTTGTTTATTGCAGTCGAACATAATCGCTGAACTGTTAAGGGACTTGTAGATCGAGCTTTTCGAACCTATTCAACTCTGTTTGCTTTTAGACACATAAACTTCTGCTTCCTCAAATATTGAATGGCTGTTGCTGGAGCTTTCACTTTCTCTATAGAGCGATTCGGCAAGTCACAGTGGAGAATTCAAGGGGAAATTTCAGCCCTGATGGGTGGGAGTTTCCACTGCGACAGTGGAGTTACAGTGAGGGTTTGATCTGTTGTGGTTGTAAGCATAAGTAGTTTTAGCACAGCACTACTTTTACACTTTCTTCTACTTTTCGGCAAACTCAGAGTTTAACCTCACAGCTTGGTTCCTGACAGCTTTTTTCCCTTCAACAACAACAACAAAGGTAAGCCAGGGCTTTTATATTTGTAAAGCTCATTTAAATAATCTAAATGCCAAGGTTACTTTTAAGACAGATTATCCCTCTGTCGCTGAACTTCAGCACATCCTAATTACACTCTTGTTTATCCTCGCCCCTGTCTCTTTTAGCGGTGTCAAAATGAAGTTTCTTGAGCTGGATGACTCGATCGGTCGCTTCAGGTTTTCACAGTCCTGTTTGGGATTAGTGGGGTGCCTGTGTGTGTGCTATGCAGTCTGGACACCTTACTGGGTGAAGGACAGGGGACTGTGGACGGAGTGGAACGCCACTGAAAGCGACCAGACGAATCCTAAAGATGATATTGGCATCAACGGTGAGCCAAACGCTTCTCTGACACCACTCTGCAGTCAACAAATCTCGTATCTGTCTTAAGCTTTCACTCTGTGTTAGGTTAAAGGTTTGACTGACTAAAATGTGTTAGGAAAGGCAGCATATTTAATGAGACTTAAGCACATCTTTGCTGTGCTGTTTTGATAAGACTGCTTCTGCTTGCTTCAGCCTTAGGAGAATTTATTTTTCTCAAGAGAGGATCAATATCAAAAGGGAGATTTGACAAAACGCTGAGTTACAGAAGAGATTCTCTGCAGCAGTAAACAAGTTTGAGCTTGCTTCTGTCCGGGTGAATTGCATTCTTTGTTAAGGCTCAGTTCTGTACTGAATGTGCTTGCGAAATCTTTAGTGAGCTAAAACCCGGTCTTTATCATTCAAATCTCATTTCGTGTCATAAACTGACATAAACTGAGTTTATGCTCTTAACAATTAATCTAATATTGTATAAGTCCTCTGCTCTCATGCACAAAGAAGGAAAGCAAATGAGAAGGGACTCAAGATAGTAGTTGTCTTTTTGCTTGACAATATATAAAAAAATAACAGTAATAATGGTGATTAGAAATGATTAATGACACAACGAAAAAATATCAGTTATGACAACAACAAAAAGTCTTTTCCTCATGCTGAGAAGAAACTCTAATGAATGAGTGATCAATATTAAGATTATTAAGAAGTACCACAAAATTATTAATTTACTAAAAAGATAAAAATATAGTAAATAGCTGTTAACTGCAATAGTTCAAAGTTGACTTAAAGAGATATATTATGCTGTGTCTGTTCTAAAATTAAAAAGAACGATACTGAATATTGAGTTTCAGGTAAGGAGATAAACATATAAAGGTTATCCCTGAACACTTGGTTTCCTGCAGTTTTCATCAGTGACATTAGCTAATGACATCATTTATACATCTGCTCCTGGCCGAAACCTTGTTTCTTCTCAGGAAATATTTATACACATTCTCGTCAAGCATCAAATCATCTGCCGGAGTAGCAGAATAATAGTCATTTGATGTACTTCATTTAAAAACCAACAGTGCTGGGAAATACAGTCATTTGGCAACAGCACAATATCATTTTTCTAGGTACTCTTTTAGCGCATCCCACATGTCTCCCCTGGGGGTATTTCTAGAAAAAAAAAGTATATAAGGCTTGTGACAAATTTGTGAAACTTGGCCAGACAGAAGAAAGTAGACATTTAAGAAACAGGGTTTTTTTTTTTTAAAAGCCCAGAGCTAATAGGTTATTACCCTTTTTCCAGTGGACTCTTCAAGTGCTGCAAAACAGCTGGTATTAAATAAATAAGGACTTAATTGAATAGGGAAGTATGGACAGTTACTCTGGTGGAGTGCCAGAATAAAAGTGTAGAGGTGGAAAACAGCATAATCCTGTTTTCCAAACATTTAATCCTAAGTGCACTCACAGATCATTCTCTAGCAAAGGCATTCGAGGATAAAATAAGGGATATATTGTGGGAAATTTGACATTGTGTAGTGTTTATCATGCTCGTAGTGGAAATGAATGTGTAAAAATGAATATAAGTGTAGTTACCCATTCTAATTTTTGTCTGTTGTTTTGTGTCCTGCAGCTCTGGAAGCAGAGAGGGTCTTTGGAGTTCTCTCCTTCCTGATGGCCGTGAGCACGGCTGCTCTGTGTCTGGTGTTTGCCCTCTGCTGGACATCCCAGACGGTGCGCTCCTACTCAAACACTCGCGCTCTCCTCATTGTACAAAAGGCGCTCTACCCCACTACCCTGCTGCTGTTCACCATGGCCCCCACAGGTGTGTAACATATATTCATTTCCTATGACATCCACATATGTAAACACGGTGTTTCTTGGATTTCTGTTATTCTGTTTCTCCATTTCCAACTACCCTCCAAATGGCCTTTTGGTTTATGTCATTCATGTCAAGCTCTCACCTACAGAAGTTGTTTCATGTACTAGTCATTTATGTACCCCGCTGGGGAGCGCACAGAGACTTTATTTTCTTTGGAATTGCAGTTCAATATCATGCAAAGTCTTTCCTAAAGCTCCAGGCATGTAATAATTGTGCTTAATACCTTTTTTCTTTTAGCGGTAATCATACTAGAGTTGACTCATTTTTGCCATCTGTCTACAGGTTTCTTCTTCCTCCTGAGCTGGTCTTTTTTCACATATCAGCACCGTGAAGAAATCCGTCAGGACTTCTCCAGTCTTGGCTCCTCCTATTGGCTGGGGGCTTTAGGTTGGACCCTGCTGCTCGTCGTGGAGCCGATCGTCTTTATCGTTGAACAGGCTGTCGTGCCAGACATTCTACCTGACTTGGAGAATGCTGTGGAGCCATGGCGGATTTCCTCTCCATCTGAGGCCGACGAACAATCTTTTAGTCAAAGTTCTCATCCTTTTAGCCCCAAAAGCAACAAGGGTGTGATGAAATATATGTCTGAATTTTGAATGGAGTTCAGAAACAATAAGGACATGAATATGAATATGACGCTAAAGGACTGTGCACTGAAAGAATCCTGAAGTCAGAAGAACTGAAGTTTCCTGCTGGGCTTACTGTGGAAGTCATTTTCTGGTTTGTTGACTGGTTCACTGGTTTGTTGATTGAAATGAAACCACAACACACTAAGGACTAATAACATACCAACTAGTGAAATACACAACTAATGATAGGTTTGCGCCTCAGCCAGGATCAGGTCCAGGTATAAAGGGCTCTGAGTTCAATCTACGTAAACAAGACATTCAGTTAGTACATTTATCTAAATAGTGCTGCTGCGATATATCTTACCTGAAGTCATTGTTATGGCCATGTGACACTTCAAATAGTAATTGTCATGTAAAAGATGATAGGTACTGGTTAATGTTGACAGATTTACATATTACAAGCATTTTTGGTCTGTTACATGTGTTTTTCTTTTTTTGGAGATTTAACTTGGGTTTATTTATAAACAGATGAGTAGTTCTCAGATATATTCGTCAGCCCAGACTATAATTTCAACTACAGCATTGTTTTAATGCAGAGCTCCATGAGGGCCTGAAGATCATGGCCATTCAGTACTTGTTTTCAGCCGTGTCCCTTATGCACATTTCTTTTAATAGTAGATTGCACTGTAGTTAAGGAAATTCCCACTTGCAAATTCTTTGCAATTTTTACAGTAAGAAACATTGGTGCGCATCAACAGAATTCCAACTATTGTCAGCTAGCTGTCATTTGGCAGGACGTGGGGTACATCTTTGAGTGGCTGCCAGTCCGTTGTAGGACTAACAAGAAACAATGTTCTTGAACGGTCTGCCTGCACTACCTTTCACACTGGTGGACTCTTCTCCTTTAGACTTTTGAAACACTCTCTTTTCTTTTCTTTTTTTATACCAAGTCTTTATTAATTGTGAATTTTGTTACTTTGTTGTTTTTTGTTGTTGTTGCCCATTTTGTATTTTTTTTAATGTTATCAAAAAACAATAAAACTTCTCGGTATAACACGTATCTTGTCTTTAAGTTATTTTCAGTAAATACAAGTTTTCATTTAGTTGCAAATGATTCGATTCTGCTTTATTTACACGTAGCAGCTTACATGTTTGTTTGTTTTTTAAGTTAAATAGCAGTTGTGTGTGTGTGTGTATACATTCCTGTGTATACCATAGAAAAGAGCAACAAAAAAGATCTAGGCACATATCCAAACTTTTTTTGTACTGTAACTGTTCAACAAAACTTCATCTGCCTGTGGTAGACTCTAGCTTTTATCCTGACTAAGCAACCCTCAGCAACTCACAGTTTAAAAAGCGTTGTTCCTTTTAGAAAAGTATCTGGATATTTTTAAGGGAAGCAGAAGCTTGTGTGGTTGAGCGCTATGGTTCTTTGTTTGGACAGTTGCCCACCAGCCCGTGGGTCTTGAATGTGTAGTGAAGCAGAGTTCTTCCCTTACAAGTCCTACATCTGCTTCCTTTTTTGAAAAACTCTTTCATTTCTTGCATGCAGCTGCTGGTTCTGCAGAACATTTGGGGCACCAGACAGCAAACTGCCTCCCAAGTCGTTATTTACTTTCTTTCACACCTTCCCAAGAGGAAAGGAAGCGCTCAGATGCTGGACTGCTCATGTTTATGTTCTCAACCTGCCAAAGTGGGGGAGAATTAAGTGGCTCTGGCTTTGTTAATTGGGCGTTAATCAGGTGTTGCTCTAATTAAAAGGCAGTTCCGCCCTGTTGGGCCCTGGTAATGAGTTTGTTATTAAATCCAAAGAGGATTTTTGTCTCTTTTTCAATTTACCAACAGGGTAGTGGTTAATTGCTGTGTAAATGAGGGGAATGTCCTTGAAGGTCGCGTTGCATCAGCGTGCGATCCATGAACAGAATTGTTCCAAAGAGCTTCCTCATTCTATCTTCAAATTATTAAAATTCACTACAACCTCTTGTATCCAGCTGTGCCTCTCTTGATTCAGTTGCTATTTTTGAAAGAACGTTTTTTTTTAAACATTATTTGTTAAAATGAGAGACTTAGTAACCCATTTTCTTTGTAAATAAAAGCACTTCTAAAATTGATTTTCTTTTAATCTTAAGTTGCTTTTATTTCCCTTCAGTAGATGCTGTCTGGGCACTTGAAAGAACACAGTCTTTCATGGCTGCCAGTGTCTCATAAACAAACCCTAGCCTTTTCACCTTCCACCACTACAAATGCTGCTCTTTTACCCTCCTGAAAGCATCAGACTAAAGGTTGCGAATGCCTTCAGAGAAAGGCAGGACAAATCAATATGGAGATAGAAAGAAAGAGATAGTGAGACAGTTAGGCACAAAGTAAGAAATGACAGATGAATGGCAGAAGATGTTACATACAGATAGACAGGTGGCCAGATAGTCACAGAAAGATTGCGGATGTTGATTGTTGAAGGGCATCTGCTATAGAGACATCAATCAGAAGATGGCACCAAGATTGAGTGTTTCCTGCCTGTGGCTGGCAGCATGTGTACAACATAACCTGGGCTAAACCACTGCTCTTCATATCAATTAGAGTCCAATTATACAGCCATGTCCTACTAGTTATGCTGCACCGCCACTATGCCAATCCTCAGCATAAAGTATGTGTTTCTCCATGCTGTGTGCCTGTGCTTGTGTTCATTGAGATAAATAAATATCGTCACAGAGTGCCAAGGCGCGCATTCTTAATCTGATTTTCAGAGCTATAAGTTTGAATTTTGCAGACGAAGGAAAAAAACAAACAAAAAAACCCCCAAGAGAGCAAGAATCGCCAAAAACTGTTATTTTCTCTTGTACCTTTTGGTGGTGCTGGTGTAACACCTATCGTTTTGACTTTTGCAAAGAATTCTGGTGAGATGGGGGAGACACTGCTTTCATTTGATGAGTAATGTAATCACAAAAAGTCTGTGCATGTCTGCATGTGTGTGTGTGTGTGTGTTTGATTTTGATTTGCAAGGTATACAAAGTGTGATTAATATTCTCAAGCATATTTTGCAGGGTTTTGAGCCAGAATGTGCCGGACTACTTAATAAGTCAAGTTTTATTTGGCTCGATCTGGGAGCGTGGTGAATTATGAAATAAAGCTAGGACTCCATGCTTTTTGCAGTTTTATTTCTCCGTGGTTTGCATAATTCAGTCAGAACATTTGTAACTTTCCTGACAGGTTAATGCTGTTGGGTTCAAAGTGAAGACACTGAGGAAATACACAGAAAGACAAGACAGCAGGGAGAAACAGACATGAAGATCAGAGGAGGCGAGAACAAAGGGGGAGAGAGGATTTGAGATGTCACAAAATAGTTTCACACTGTCCTTGTATTCTGTGCGTGTCGTGTAGTGTCAGATTTAATGAACTTTGCACCTTTCTCTCCATCCCTCACCACCGCGCTCTTGCTATAGCTCTAAATCTGAGTTTGACCACTGCAGTGCTGTGCCCTCTACTGCATTGTCATCAGTATAAGTGGACAGTCTTTGAAAATGGAAAAGTCAGGAAATTTGATGTCTGCAGTCCTACAATCTCATAGTAAAGCAGGGAGCGAGTGGGAGTGAGAAAGAGAGAGGGTGCATGAGAGTGCACCTTGTGTCCTTCAGTTATTTTTCTCGCAGCCGCTCAGTACGTCTTGCCTGCAGAATCTGCAATGAGACATTGCTCTTTGTGACTGGACCAGACCACCTGGTTACAAGAAGACATACACAGTAGCAGAGCTTAGAAAAGGGAAAAAGGGAGTTTCTTGATCATTCTGCGATCACTGAATTTAAGTGCAAGATGTGTGTTTGGGGTTTTCTTTTTGTATTGTCAGACTCTTTCTGCTGTCTCTGCCACCAAGTTTGCTTTTGTGTCTTTGAGTTTGGACTTGTGATGTCTGTGGGCTTACCCCTTTTGCCCAGCGGTACCCTTGTTCGTAAGTGGTGTCGCCTTGGACATTTCGGTCTAGACAATAACGCCGTAGTCACATTCGTCACTCTAGTCATCCCTGGCCAGCTGTATCCTCTCTCTTCTCTTATCTCTATGTGACCAAGGAAATTAAATTACAAATATAATCACTTGGCTCCAGTTTCTTTAACAGTGTGTTTCTGCTTTGCATATAGAGTGAGCTTGCACACTCTATATGCTTGCGCACTCTATATTCTATCAGCCTCCAGGAGACGTTGTGTGAAGTTACTTACTGGCCTATTTACAATAATGGGCTCTGCTCTACTTGGGAGTCACACACCTTTTCACAATGACAATGAATGGCATGAGGTGGTAAAGGAGGTAGAGGAATGTAAGACATGGAAACCTTGTTGCTTTAATCTTTGCAAAAATTATTGTGCATAATTACAAGTCTAAAAGGCAGGCAGCGATGATAAAATAGACAAAAAAACTCACTATCTTGACACCTCATGGATTTTAATGCAGTATATGGAGCAATGACAAGAAAAAGCTGTCATGAACTTTACTTTTAACCTAGCAAATAATGTGCTATTAACCCATTTAATCCAGAATTTTTCCAATTTTTCAGTGACAGTTTTTTTTTATTAAATGGAAAAGTAGGTGAAAAAGTGTAAATAATGTTTCAGCTGTGAGACTCGAGTGTGGGAATTAATATATTTATTAAACTAGAACACTATGACAACCCCTCAAACTCAAACTCAAAAATTTAAATTTATTTTTTAGTCCTGATATGAATACTGAGACAAAACAAGAAAAAACACAAAAAGCATTATTACATTTTAGTACTGAACATAAATATTGGTGGTGGATGGAGGATGCTGGACAGGCTTGGCATGGTGAAACACACAGTAAGGGTCCACTGATAACATCTAGCAGATGCACAACTTTGAAACATTCCAAGGAATGCTGGGGACATTAATGGACCATGAGCCATACATCTACTGATGTACAAAGTTACAGTTGTAAAGCGGTTAATGGCAGTCATGGCAATAGCATGGCAACCGGATGCTGGACGCCAGAGATGAAGGGAGCTGTCAAGCTTGAGAAGGAGTCCTATCGAGACTGAATAGCTTGAGGGAATTGGGAAGTAGCTGACAAATACAGAATGCAAATCTGACAATAACTGAAGCAAAACTTGTGTGGGAAGAGTTTGGTGAGGCCATGGAGTGGCCCTTAGTTGGCTTTAAGGTGATTCTACCAAACTATATAGCAACACAGGAAGGCATGTCTTCCAATTTCAGGGACATCACACTCCTCAGCTTGTTCAATAAGGTCTACGCGAGGGTGCTGGAGAGGTTTGTTATTTGAACCTTGGGTTCAGGAGCAAATGTGTGGACACATCTTAGTAACAGAACACTGGATGAACTCTATATCTTATCAACAATATTTGAGAGTGTTTGAGAGTTTTCTCAAACAGTCTATATGTAACTTGTGGATTTAAAGCAAAGAATTTGAACATGTCTCCTGGGGTGTCCAGGGCAGTGCTTCAGGTGGATGAAGTTTCAGGAAGGGTGTTGGGTGTTGGTGTATCCAGTGCTCATAAGCCCCCATTAACCATGTACAAGTTTGGTTCACATTGCTGCTGACTATAAGTCAGACTTGGTTGCTGGACTCAGTCAGAACTGCCTTTTGTCACCATTTCTGTTCATGGCTTTTATGGACAGATTTTCTAGGTGCAGGTTGCAGGTGCAGAAGGTTCAGCAGTTTCAGGGTTTCACCTCTGCTTTTTGCAGACGATGTACTTCTGCTTGCTTCGCTGACCAAAGACTTCTAGTTTGCACTAAGGTGTTTTGCAGCTGAGTGTGAAGTGGCTGGGATGGAAATTAATACCTTCAAGTGTGAGACCACAGTTCTCTGGTAGAAAAGGGTGGAGTGCCCCACTCCAGGTTGCGAACAAGCTGTTGTCTCAAGTGGAGGAATTTAAGTATCTCGGGGGCTACCTGCAGCTTTTGTGGTTGGTCCCTATGGTA